AAGGAGGCCGAGCTCGAGCGCCGCGAGGAGGAGGCCGGGCGCCTGCGGGAGCAGATCCGCCTGCGCGATGCGGACGCCCGGGCCAAGCTGCACCAGCTCGAGGAGGAGCTGCGGGAGAAGACCGCCAGCGAGGCCCGGCTGCAGCAGCTGCACAACGCGGCGCTCAAGCAGGTGCTGGACTTCAACGAGGGCCTGAACCGCGAGCGCGTCGAGCGGGCCGGGATGGACCTCGATCTGCGCGAGAAGCAGCGTGTGCTGCTGTCGATGGAGGAGGAGATCAACCGGCTCAAGGTCGAGCTCCGCCGGAAGGAGCAGGCGGTCGAGGCCACGGCTGACGAGCTGGCCCAGTTCCAGCGCCGCACCGAGGTTGCCGCCGAGCGACGCGCCGCGGCCGACGCCGAGTTCCAGCAGCGGCTGGCGACCACCGAGGCCGAGCTCAAGCAGGCCCGCGAGCAGCTGGCTCGGTCGTCGTCGAAGGCCGAGAGCCTCGAGCAGCTCAAGGCCGAGATTCGGCAGCTCCAGGGCCGCCTGCAGGAGCTGGACCGTCTGGCGCAGGAGGGCCAGGAGATGCAGTCGCGGCTGCGCGTGGCCGAGGCCAAGCTGCGGGAGGCCGAGGAGCGCACGCGCGAGGCTGAGACCCGGCTGCGCGACGAGGAGAAGCGGGCCAAGGTGGTTAAGGCCCGCATGGACCAGCTGCGGAGCGCCGGCAAGACCCACGAGCGCACGCTGGCCGAGCTCCAGCAGCGCGAGGAGCGCGTCGCCGAGCTCGAGGAGCTTACCAACCGCCGCGCCATCGAGCTCGAGCTCCTCAAGGAGTCCCTCAACAAGCAGGCCTCCAAGCTCAAGCAGACCACCACCACGACGGCGACGAAGAAGACGAAGCCGACGACGAAGCCCGCCGAGATGAAGGTCGAGGCCACAACCGAAATCGAGCAGAAGGCTGAGGTTCAGCTGCCCGCGGCGGCAGCGGCGAAGGAGCAGACGAAGGAGAGCGCGGCGGCGTCGGTCGTGGGCGCGGTCGTGCGACGGCTGCCGGGCGGCGGCGTGGCTGTGCGCGGCATGCACGCGGTAGGCTGGATGATGCAGTTCATCGCCTACGTCTTCGTCTTCCTCTACGTGCTGGCCATGAAGGGCCGGAGCGCCCTCTCCTGGAGCCGAACCTAAAGAACCGACCAGCCATCACCACTTCAACCCCCGCCCAGAAGGGCGGTCTCTCTACTCTATCCAGCCGTGTGAATAAATTCAATTTCATTTCCTATTCTCTGCGTGTGGTGTAATACCAAGGGCAGCGGGGGGGGGAGCGCAACGTGCGTGCGTGGCTTTGGTGTGCTCCTTTGCTGGTTTTTTCCGCTGTTTGACGCCGAAGCAGCTGCGAACGTTGATAGGTCGTAGTTGCTGGTTAGGACGCTGTGCACAACACACTCACACCACCACACCACCACAACACCCATCCCCAGAGGGTGCACCCTCCACACACGAGATAGGGCCTACCTCTGGTTTCCCGCCTCGCTTGCCTGCCCGGGTTTTACTTGAGCCACGGGTAGGGGTAGGACTTGGCGGTCCGAGCGGTCAGCACCTGTGATGGGCGGGGCAACAATCAGTCACCAGTGTGCGCCCAGCATAGCTGAGGTATATACCTCGACTCCGGTCTCGGTCACCACCATGGTATGCTCGAACTGCGCGGAGAGCTTGCCGTCTCGAGTGACCGAGGTCCAGTCGTCGGGCCACGTCGTGTCCTTGAAGTCGCCCTGTGATATCGATAGAGGCCAACGCATCGGCTCGACAACGTAAGTACACAAATATTTGTTTGCCCCCCCTCCCGGGTTTTTGTTTTTGGCACGCACCAGGTTGATCATGGGCTCAATGGTGAACACGTGGCCAGGCTTCATGACGCCCACTGCCTTGTTTTCTGTGTCGTGTGTCGTGTCGTGTCGTGTGGTGTGGTCAGCCAAAGCAAAGCGTTTTGCCAGCAGGGAAGAGGAATTGGCGTAGTCACGTACTGGCGTAGTGGGGCACGTTGGGCGACGTGTGGAAGAGGGCGCCAACGCCGTGTCCGCAGTACGTCCGCACCACCGAGTAGCCGTGCTTGCTCACGTGCTTGGAGATCACCTGACCGATGTCTCGGTACAGCCGACCCGGCTTGACTGCACACATTGTCGCTCGTTAGGCAAAATAAAATAAACAATAAACAAACAAAACAACAAAACAACAAAAAAGAAAGATTAAATTACACAACAATTAAAAAACCAAAACAAATATTATAATGTACCGATCTTGATGGCCTCCTCGAGCGCCTCGTAGGTGACCTGGACCAGCTTCTGGGCCTCGGGTGACACCTCGCCGACGAAGAAGGTGTCGTTCACGTCACCGTGGTAGCCCTTGTAGTAGACCGAGACGTCGACATTGCAAATGTCGCCCTCCTCCAGCGGTCGGCTGTCGGGAATGCCGTGGCAGATGGCCTCGTTGATCGACCTGACGCCCCACACCGCCGTGTGAGCTGGGGTCCCGGCGGGACGGGGGCATAGGCGGCGCACGCAGCGGGCCGAAGGGGGGACCTACGTGCAGCAGGACTTGGGGAACTCGCGGTAGTTGAGCGGCGAAGGGTAGGCGCCCTTGGACACGATGAAGTCGTGCACGGCCCTGTCGATCTCGTCGGTGGTGATGCCGGGCCTAATCATGCTGCCGGCCAAGTCAAGCGCCTGACGAGAAATCTGTTTCGGTGTCCCTTCAATTAGCCTCGTGTGTGCCATGTGTGTGCGTGTGTTTGTTTGTGTGTCGTGTGTGTATGTGTGTGGAGGAGGCGCACAATGGAGGCCTCGCGGAGGACGGCGATCTGGGCAGGGGTATGAACTTCGATCGCCATGCTGCCGCGCTTGAACTGGTTCTCCGACTCAGGCTCGCCTGTACCAAGGAGTGGAGAAAGTTTTAAGAATGGCGCGCAGGAGAGAGTGATTTTCCACCGTGGCATTGGTGGCAAGGGTGTGGTGTATACCGGTCTCGGCATAGTCGGGCTTAGGGATGTGGCTCGGCACGGTGCGCATGGGCGACACCACGCCGGGCCGCAGTCGGCCGGTGAACGGGAAGCCCGCAAAGCGCTCTTTGTACGTAAAGAGCGGAGAGAAAAGAGAAAAGCGCGTGGTGAGCTCAAAGGTGCACGAGGTGGGCTGCTTGAGCCATTGGGCAGCACGTACCGTCAGCAGCAGACGTGGAAGAGTGGGAGAAGGAGATGTTGGTAGCTGCGCCAGAGCGTTAGGTGAGCGCACGTGGCTGAAGTGGGAGAAAGCACAACGAGCGGGGGGGGGCAGCGTACAGGGTCCGCTTGAGGTGAGGAGGGTATGCAGGAGCTTGTGGGTGGGCCAGGCCTTGGTGAAGCACTCCTTGCCGCAGAAATAGATCGCGGGCAGGCCAAGCTTGATGCACGTGGGGCATCGCATGTTCGCGGGTTGGCCGCAACCCTGGACGTTGTGATCGATTTCGTCACATGGGCGAAATTGCGATTGAGAAAAAAAAAATCTATCAAAAAAATTGATCGTCTGGTAATCAATCAACCACGCCACCGTACCTCCGCGGCGCATTTGCCAGGAGCAGGCGCAGACTTGGCAGCAGCAGCAGTCGCCATCTGATGGATACAGCAGAATACAGCGGAGAAAAACGAGGAATGAAGAAATTTATGAGGAAAACAAAGAAAAAATGCATAACTGGAATTCCAGTCAGGGAGAGCAAAAAGCCAGAACTACGCGACACCAGCACAGAGAAGGACAGAACAACCCACACGGACCACAGCGACTCGAACCTTGCTGCTCGACCAGTCGCCCGGCCAGCTGAAGAAGTACGTAAAGAGCGTGCAATCTTTGCTTTGCGCCTTTCGGGATGTTCTGTTGCTCTCGGCTTTGCTTATCGCATCCAGCTTTCCTTTCAATTTCACATCATTCTGTTGCCTGGCTTGGCATCTGCATCAGCGGTTGATATATGTTGGGGGTGTTGTTCTTGGCCGGCTTGGGGGCTCATGAATCTCTTGCTTGCCATCTCCTCCTCTCTCACTTGAAGCCTACAGTGGAAGGAGCGGATAATCTGGAGCCAGCGCCTCCACACAAAAGAGCAAGGACCACGTTGTCTGACCCCAACGCGAGCAGCAGCAACATGCTGAACGGGGGGTCCGAAGGTGAAACGGCGGTAGCGGCAGGCACCCAAGCCCCCTACCCCTTGGTGAAGCGCGACGACTACGTCCGTCTTCTTATCCAGGCCCTATGCGACCTGGGCTTAAAGTGCGTACCTCTCATGCCTCTATTGCTTGCAATCTTTGCAGCATCTTCGCTTGATCTGGTCGGGGCATCTTCGCGCTCAATCCAGCAGCTGTGCCTAGATCTTCAACGCCTGACTCACTTGTTGCTCGGGTGGGCGTGGGTGATCGCAGGCAAAGCGCAGACATGGTGGCCAAGGAGTCGCGCTTGCCTCTGCACTCGGATGCGGTGGTCAAGTTTTGCGAAGGCATCCTCCGCGGTGAATGGAAGGCTGTGGAGGCCCTGCTCACCGAACTGCACGTCGATGAAGACGACATCCCCGTACGGACACAAGATAACATATGCGCAAGAGATTAGGCACGGTCGCGCTCACATTCTGACGGCGTTCTTCTATGCAGAGCGTCCTTTTTCTGATCTACGAGCAGAAGTATCTGGAGCTGCTTGAGCAAGGGCGGGCGATGGAAGCCCTGGAGTGCCTGCGAAAGGAGCTGGCACCCCTCCGCCAGGACTTTGTGCGCGTCCATAGACTTAGCAGGTTAGCTCTCTTCTTCATCACTGTTTTATCGTGGACTCACTTGGTCGGCATAAGCGTATCTGGTCTCACAGCGCTCTTCTCCTCCACTCCCAATTCAGTTTGATGATGCTGACCGATGCCAATGAACTGAAGCAACGAGCCAATTGGGACGGCGTGCACGGATCATCGCGCGCCAAGCTACTCGAAAAGCTCAGGAGTATGGATACACCTCTATTGCGTTTAGTCGGAAGGCATTGCAACTTACACAACACCGTGCTTGCCTGCGCGCAGGATACATTCCCTCAAGCACGCTTCTTCCGCCCCGAAGGCTCGAGACATTGGTTCTTCAAGCGCTGGAGTTCCAGAAGTCGCATTGTATGTTCCATAACACGCAGGACGAATCGATGTCCCTCTTAGAGGATCATGCCTGCACCCTGTACGCCCTTACCCCACCGTTATTCACCGCCGCCATCTCCGCCAGCTGCTTAGTGCGTCATTCCTCTGGCCTACAGGGACCGCCTGCCGCGTCACCCCAAGCACGTGCTTACCGCGCACACGGACGAGGTTTGGTTTGTGCAGTTTTCCCACAACGGCAAATTCCTGGCATCAGCCTCGCGGGACAAGTCTGCAATCATCTGGAACGTTCAAGACGGGGTACTTCGCTCTCGACACAACCTGAGTTTTTGGCCAAGCTCACGCGAGTTGTTCATTTTTTTCCTCTGTCCAGTTGGTGGAGCCTCTCCATTTTTTGACCGGTCACAGCAAGGAAACGTCGTTTCTGTCGTGGAGTCCCACCGACGAGTACCTCATCACCGCGGGAGGGGACAACGTGGTGCGGTTGTGGAATACTCAAACTGGTACGTTTTAGCTTCGTTTTTGTTTCAGATTTAGTTTTTTTCCTGCTGCAAATGCACAAAACGAAAACGACGGTGAGTTGTAGGATTGCTTACCTCAGTGCCGCTCTTCCTCTCCACAAGGTGAACAATTGACAGATTGCGCCAAGCACACGAACGCCGTGACGACGCTGGCGTGGATGCCCGACGGGAAGCATTTTGTGTCGGGCGGTTTGGACAAGAAGATCTACATGTGGGTACGTGGACTTCTGCTTGCCCTCCATGTCCTGCGTTTTGTGCAATGCACTGACGTGTACACCACGCAACAACTCTAGGATCTGGAGGGCCAGGACGTACACATGTGGGACTTTGCCCGCTCGCAAATCAACGACTTGGTGGTCTCCCCCAACGGGCAGTGGCTCATCGTGATCACCCAGGAGAAAAGGATACGTCTCTACGACATTCAGAAGGGAGAAAAGGAGAGGTACTGCAGCGGCCCCATCCACCCACTCTCTGTTGCTGCTCCCTATCAGTTGTCTGACTGCTTCCTTCTTCGAAACACCAATAGCCTCGAGGAGATGGACGCCATCACATCTCTTTCGATATCCGACGATAGTCGATACCTGCTCGTGAATGTCGCCTCGCAGGAGGTCCACCTGTGGGACCTCGACTCGCGAACGCTGGTCCAAAAGTATAGGTACGCGTAGTATTAACCTGGCCTCGCCAGCTCGCAACCGATCACCCGCGGTCGTGTGCCTGGGCTCACATGTCTCTCGTTTTGATTGGGCAGTGGACACAAGCAGAGCCGCTTCGTCATTCGGTCGTGCTTCGGCGGCGTCGACCAGGGCTTCGTAGTGTCCGGCAGCGAGGACAACAACGTGTACATCTGGAACCGGGAGCACGGCACGCTGCTGGACTCGCTCACCGGCCACACGGCGACGGTCAACTCCGTGACGTGGAACCCCAAGAACCCGCACCAGCTCGCCGCCGCCTCCGATGACCACACGATCAGAATCTGGGAGTCGGAGCACGCCGGAGCGCAGCGGCACGGAACGAAGAGGAAGACCCGCGCGCACGAGGAGAACGGCGGCATCGGGCCGGAGGGCGAGAAGAATGGGATCGAGAACGGCAACAACGGAGTTCACGCCCACGCCCAGGGTCACCAGGCCAAAGAGAAGGAGAAGGCCGATGAAGATGAGGAAGAAGACGACGGTGGTGGAGACCGCGACGGGGTGACGGCCATGAACATCGCGCAGGACGAGGACAGCAGCAAGCCTCACGACTGAGTACCACCAAGGGCCGTCCTCTCCCTCTCGCCCCAGTCCGGCCAGCAGCGTCTCGTGCCTCGTGGGAGCCGCGTATGTGTGCGTGTTTGTGTGCAGTGTATGTGAGTGTAAATAAATAAATAAATAAATATGGATTCAGTGTCAGCCGAGACGAGGAAGACGACGATGAGA